CGCCCCGCAGTCCTTTCGTAGGTTTCTCCTCCCGCTGCCCACGAAGTGCAGAGGAAGGAGAGGTCGAGAGCGGCGGACTTCGGGGGCTCCAAAGCTCCAGAATCTTCGGGAGGAAGGGGACGGACGTCTGGGGGGGGGTGCAGTACCAGGCTTGGTCTTTGTTCTTTACGCCACCCTCAGGGATTGTGTGAGGGAGGAGGATTTATTCCTTTCTACAGAGACCACTTTTCGTTGCTGCTGCCTCCTCTTTTTCTATGCCACAAGCTAGTCTGCTTTCCTCTCTCCCCTTTATTTTCCTCCGCTTCTGACTGACGCCTCCTTCCCAGCTTCTCGATATTCTCCTTAAACTCCCCCGAAAATCTTTCTCTGGCCGCCTATACAGTGCAAAGTCTTTAGAGTTTCTTTTCCCGTTTAGTTACTTTTCTGTTTGATTACTTTCGCCCCGTCAAACTCCCAGCGGGGACTTTCCCTTTCGCGTTGCCCCTCGAAAACCCCGTTCAGCTCGGAGAAGTCAGAGAGCAACCTCTCCGCGCTCCCATACTGCAGGCGATCCAAACCGGAAGTCAGTCCCTGGCATCTCTGGTCAATCTATTACTCTTTTATTTATTTAACAGATAGAAATCATGGGCAGAGGCCATTTAAGTGGAGTACAAGATGAAAGTGGGATAAAACTCATAGCCCCAAACCATTCATCTAAAACTCTAAAAACCCAGGAAATCCATATCTACAAATTTGTGATCAATTCCATAAGTGACTGGGCCATGCATTGAGGGAAGCCACCTTGAATAAAAATATATCTTCAGTAGACACCTAAGCATCATGACATTAGACACCTGTCTGATTTTGCTTGGTCAGTTATTCCAGAGGGCTGGGCCTGCAGCACTAAAAGGCCAGATTCCAGTGCAAGTTAAGCACATTCCTGGGGCCCATGGCAGTGCTACATCCAAGAGGAGCACAGTTGCTGGGCAGGGATAGTTAAGTGTCTAATGAGAAAGACCCTTTCTGCTTGACTTCATGGAGAGCCACTGGTGATCTGAGCGGATGTTCATATATGTTCATTAGATATTCATAGAGAAAGACAGTGACGTTGGGGGCACTGCTGGGCACTTCCCCAGTCTTGAAACTCTTGGGATTTCCTGACTCCACCACCTTCTAGAGCAGGGTTCCTCAACCTCGGCCCTCCAGATGTTTTTGGCCTACAACTCCCATGATCCCTAGCTAGTTGGACCAGTGGTCAGGGATGCTGGGAATTGTAGTCTGAAAAAACATCTGGAGGGCCGAGGTTGGGGAAGTCTGTTCTAGAGCAGGGAAGGGGAGCCCGTCAAGACTTCCAGATGTTGTTGGACTACAGCTCCCATCATTCCCAGCCGTTCTCCATGCTGGATGGGACTGATGGGAGTTGGAGTCAAAGGCTGCAGACTCTCCATTCCTGTGCTAGAGCTCACCCTGCGTGTTGTTATTGCAATACTAATGAACTCCAGTTTTAATTACTATGTAACGTATCATGTGCTGTGAAATAATGTTTGCCTAGGAAACCATTTAAAGGACTCCCATTTGTTAACCATCATTGTCAACCGATCGATTGACTGCATATAATTCTGCTTTGCAAGTCTTCTTATAAGGCAACTTTGAATGTCAGCTAAGAATCCCCACCTGATTGATCAGTGTTGGGCACAAATATGATACCTCTCTATACAAGACACCACTTTATATGCTGAAGCCGCACCTCTTCACCCTAGCCTTTGACAACTTATATGTACATATTTAACGCCTGCCCTGTTTTTCTGATGTAAATCGTTTTAACTGATTTTTAAGATAGTATTTTTGCATTGCTGTAACCCACCCTGGGAAGGGTGCATAAGCAAGCTGTTGTCACTCTTCTTCCCTGTGACTTTTAGGTGAAGAGTGGGTAAAAAAGCTGCAATTATTATTATTATTATTATTATTCCCTGGGGCCATGTGTCAAAGGGTGCATTAGAAAGCTAATCACCATCAGCGTTCGATAGCAGACATAGCTGTGCTAGCATTGCAGCTGCTAAGCTGTACTGTTGGTGTTTTTTTAAATGCAGATGAAAAGGAACGGTGGGCTGTGTGTTCTAATAACAGACAAATGCCCAACCTAACAGGCTATCGCTTGTGTCACTGCAGCAGCAACAGCAAAAAAAAGAGACCAATCAACATTTAAACAAAAATTTCAAGCAAAATAACTCAGGAGGCTGCTGGTGGGGGCTCCTTCCTTTTTCACAAGCTCAAACCTGCCTCTGTTTCTCCTTTCCCGCCCCCTGCCAGCGGCACAAAAAAATTGTTTGGGTAAATCGGCCTCCGGAGGTGCTTTACTGTGCCCGCTGGGAGCCTTTTGACTGCCGATTCTTCTGGGGTCTCCATGGAAACGGCAACAGGCAGGCGGACCCCGTCACGTGACAGTCCCCCCCCCCACGACCGCCAAGCATCAGTGCCGAAAATGCCCAGATGGCAAAGGGATTGCCTTTGCCCTCTCAAGTCTGGGTGGCTGTTGCCAGGCAACTGGCCTCTGGGCTTATTTGTTCAACGGCAACATACACAATCTGGGCTCAGGCACCAGAAGCTGAAAGCAGACTCAAGAATGTCACCTTCCTCCAACACCTCCTGCCGTCCTTCCCGCCCACCACCCATCTGCATTCCCAGTTCAGCACCTGATTGCTTAAACTGCAAGGTTCAGAAGAACTCAGGGAATTCTGCTTTGGCGTGGGGTTTTGCATGGGGTATTCCCTGTGGAATTTCGCCTTCGGAGAATCTTCAGGCTTTCATTTAAAACAGGGATGGGGGAGCCCTTTTTGTTCCAGCCCAGGGGCCATATTCCCTTCTGGGCAACTTTCTGGGGGCCACATTCCAATGGTAGGTGGGGCCAGAGGCAAAAATGGGTGGAGCAATGGGTGTGATTTATTTATTTCACAGTGGTACCTCAGGTTACATACGCTTCAGGTTACAGACTCCGCTAACCCAGAAATAGTGCTTCAGGTTAAGAAGTTTGCTTCAGGATGAGAACAGAAATCGTGCTCCAGCGGCGCGGCGGCAGCAGGAGGCCCCATTAGCTAAAGTGGAGCTTCAGGTTAAGAACAGTTTCAGGTTAAGAACGGACCTCCAGAACGAATTAAGTACTTAACCCGAGGTACCACTATATTTTATTACTTTTGTACAGTGGGCTGGTTTCTACACACAGAGAGAGACACACACACTCCTCTAGCCAAGCATGGAAGAGGCATGGCCAGGGTATAAGGACACATTCCAGCCAGGCAAGAACACTAAAGGAGGGTACAAACAGGGCCGATGAGAGGTGTGCCCGGAGTGTCTTGAGAGTCTTAGAGGGCCCCTGGACTTGGGGTTCCCCATCCTTGGTGGCTTCTGGGAATCCCAGTAGCAGAACTCTAAAGGCAACAGCCCTTTTCTCTTGTTCAGTCCCAGCATCTGGTTTTGGGGGTACACTGCCCCTGGAGGCTCCATTTAGCTATTTATACTGTACCGCGCTATTTATACTGTGGCGCCACCCCCACTACGAACAGATGCAAAAAGAAATTTCACAATATTTATGCAATGTTTGCAGAGTGAGATATAAGCGGTCATAACTTTTCTGACTTTGGGCTCAGGTTTTTTTGGAATCTTTGAGGCCCGGGACCAAGCTTTTTCCTTTACTCCTGCAAATGGGCCAGGTGAAACAAAAAGAAATGTGGCCCTGGTGCCGAAAAAGTTTCCCCACCCACCGATTTGCAGCACCTGCTGTTCAAAAACCAGCAAAGAAGCCGCTCCCATGAGTTGGCCTCTTGACATGCCAACCCCTGGTCACTTCCACAGGAAGCTGCCATCAGACCGTGTTGGAGCCTTAGACCCTTTAGCTCAAGATTGTCTATACCCCGAGTAGGCAACCTAAGGCCCAGGGCCCGGATCCGGCCCAATCGCCTTCTCAATCCGGCCTGTGGATGATCCAGGAATCAGAGTGTTTTTACATGAGTAGAATGTGTCCTTTTATTTAAAATGCATCTCTGGGTTATTTGTAGGGCCTGCCTGCTGTTTTTACATGAGTAGAACGTGTGCTTCTATTTAAAAAGCATCTTGGGTTATTTGTGGGGCATAGGAATTGGTTCATTTTTATATATATTTTCAAAATGCAGTCCGGCCCCCCACAAGGTCTGAGGGACAGTGCACCGGCCCATGGCTGAAAAAGGTTGCTGACCCCTGGTCTACACAGTGACTGGCAGGGGCTTTCTAGGGTTTCAGGCAGGGGAGAAGCTGGTGGTTGCACCTGGGAGCTTCTGTCACCCTCCCAAGTGGGCCAGAGAAAGAGCAGGGTCATGGGAACATAGGGAGCTGCCTTCTACTGAGGGATAATCATAAACCTTGCCTGGCAGCAGCTGTCCCAAAGTTTCACACAGGAGGGAGTCTTTCCCAGCCCTCCCAGGAGATATCGGGGATTGAACCTGGCACCTTCGGCATGCAAAGCAGGTGCTGTACCCACGGAGCTACAGTGGTGCCTCACAAGACGAAAAGAATCCGTTCCGCGAGTCTCTTCGTCTTGCGGTTTTTTTTCGTCTTGCGAAGCAAGCCCATTAGCGGCTTAGCGCTATTAGCGGCTTAGCGGGCTTAGCGGATCAGCTGATAAGCGGCTTAGCGGATCAGCTGGTAAGCGGCTTAGCGGATCAGCTGTTAAGCGGCGTAGCGGATCAGCTGATAAGCGGCTTAGCGGATCAGCTGTTTAGCGGCTTAGCGCATCAGCTGATAAGCGGCTTAGCGGCTTGGGAAAAGGGGGGGGAGGGAAAAAACCCTGCAGGAACTTGCGCTGACATTTTCGTCTTGCGAAGCAAGCCCATAGGAAATTTGTTTTGCGAAGCACCTCCAAAACGGAAAACCCTTTCGTCTAGCGGGTTTTCTGTCTTGGGAGGCATTTGTCTGGCGGGGCACCACTGTACAGTCGCACTTGGTTGTTTGATGCATTGTGTGTGCTTCCCCCCACCCTCCCCACACTGCAGGCCAATCACGCGGAAGAGCACATGGGACAATATTACACGCTCCCCCTCCAGGAGGTGAAGAAGGTGTTTCCTCACGGACTCCCAGCACGCTTCAGGCTACAGGTGATGTGTCTTCCTTGCAGGCCTAAAGGTGGAGGGGAGAGCAGCAAGGCGGGATGGGACAAAAATATTGGGTCCAAATCTGAATTAAAGTCCTCTTTCTCTGCCTTGAATGCAGCTGTACGCAGCTCTTCTCTGTCTCAGCAATAATAATAATAATAATTTTCTTACTTGTACCCCACCTGTTGCCCCTGCCACTCTGGGCAGCTTCCAACAAAATACAAAAACACAGTGAGACATCTCACTGCTTCATTGTTGTTGTTGTTTGTTCTCGACAGATGAAAACCTTTGGCGAGGCCTGTTTCATGGTGAGGGAACCCGCTCTCGAACTCCTCAGCTGCTTAAAGCGAACCAACTTTGCTCATCCGGCCATTCGATATGTCATCTGTATCCTATGAATCAGGGCAGCACTTGTTCTCCTGAAACCACCCTGCAGTTAGGCATTCTGGTAACAGGCAAGTTCTTGTCCTCATGAAACGGTACAGTGTGAGCAGAGTGCCTGATCAATTCATTTAAGCAAGAGAAAACAGGGATGAGAAGACAGTCAGTGAAAAGAGGCTCAAGTGGCCTTGGTTGGCAAGGGGGGAACCTAGGCATTTGGGGAAAGGCGCAGCCAAGGATTTGGACCCAAATCTCCCTCGCTTTGTGTCTCCTTTGCACATTTACCCAGACTCCACCTTCATTCATGAGGACTAGAATAGAAACTTCCCTAAAAATCAGGAGCATGAAGCTTTTCATCCCAGGGGCCACATTCCTTCCTGGACAACCTTCCAGGAGCCGCATGCTTGTAGTGGGCGGAGCAACAAATGTAAATTTTACCTTCGTGCTGTAGCCTGCTTTCTACATACCCTCTCAAACCCCTTTGTCTTCCGTCCTGGCAAAGCAAAGAAGTGTGATCAGAATTTGCAGACATCTTGCCAGGCAAAAACACTCAAGGACAGTGGGAAGCGGGGCTTGTGAGGGGTGTGGCTTAGGTGGAGGAGTGTGGTCTGAGGAGAATCCCACAGGCCAGACAGAGACACCTGGAGGGCCATATTTGACCCTTGGGCCTGTGATACTTCACCCTGTTGTTGTTTTTAATGGTTTTTAAAGGTAAAATTCCTTTTCGACTTGTGTTTGTGTTGCTGTTTGTACCTTCGCTCATTCATTGCCCAACAGGGCAACCCTTAATTCTTACTTGAGTCACGAAGCAGTGGCGGGTATTCGGGTGGGTGCGTGGATACACCTGTTCTCCTTAGCAGCTTTTATTTGAAGACGGCGAAAAGACCACGGGGAAGACCATGGCCCTCTGCCACGCCATCCATTACTGTGCGAGGCAGGACTGGCTCATCCTGCACATTCCAGATGGTAAGGACCGAGGGGTCTTCTTCTTTGTGCCTGCCGGTCTGTATCCTGGCCTACAGCCAGAGTCTCTAACAAGCATCGTTGAAGCTGCATCACACTTAGCATTTGTGTGTTCCCCAGTGCCTCTCTCCATCCCCGCTGCCTCGATTCCAACCCCACGCTTTTCTAATGAGTGTTCTTAATGTTGTCCTTTTGTCACCGGTTGCAAGGGAAGGCCTGCTGTAAGGCACAAATGGCAGCGTGTAAATATTTTGAAAGGGGGCTTTTTGGTACAGATTGTAAGAAGAGCTGCTGCTTGGTGGGGAAACAACTGCTTTGCATGCTGAATCTCCCAGGTTAAGTCCCCAGTGGCATCTCCAGGTAAGGGTTGGGAGTATCCCCTGCCTGGAACCCCAGAGAACTGCTGCCAGTCAGTGTAGGTAATGCTGAGCTAGATGGACCCAGTGGCAGAACGCAGCTTCCTTGTTAAATCAGCCCTTCACCCAGAACCATGAGGACTGGACTGTCACTTTATCTTGACGGTGAGGGCCATAGCTCAGGGGCAGAGCATCTGCTTTGCACACAGAAGGTCGCAGGTTCAATCCCCGGCATCTCCGGTAAGGGCTGGGAGAGACTTCCTGCCTTTCCACCCCTGTCTGACACACATATCCCAACCCATCAGGGAGCATTTATTAGATGCAGCTACAGTGGTATAAACATAGGGATGGGTCATAACTCATCTGTTAGCCGCTGCAAGAACAACCATTCCCAGGACATGGAAATCATTGCAATTATTTACCATGGATCAATGGTATGTGGTGCGATTTGGCAAACAGCATTGTGGGCAGAAAAATTAAAAGAAACACAACAATTTTCATGCAGTTTGGTGTAACTTTATTAATTACAGTGGTACCTCGCAAGACGAATGCCTTGCAAGACAAAAAACTCGCTAGACGAAAGGGTTTTTGGTTTTTTGAGTTGCTTCGCAAGACGATTTTCCCTATGGGCTTGCTTCGCAAGATGGAAATGTCTTGCAAGTTTTTTTCCTTTTTCTTAACACCGTTAATACAGTTGCGACTTGACTTCGAGGAGAACGCGGTGTGGTAGCCTTTTTTGAGGTTTTTAAAGACTTTGGTGATTTTTGAAGCTTTTCCAAAACTTTCCCGACACCGTGCTTCGCAAGACGAAAAAAATCGCAAGGCGAAAAAACTCGCGGAACAAATTAATTTCGTCTTGCGAGGCACCACTGTATATGAATAATGAGGCATATGGCAGAACAGTACCCATGGTTTATAGCACAGTTGGGCGTGAATGAAGCATATATTTTATTTTTCCCTTTTCTCCCTATAAATTCCTATAAAGCCCCATAAAATAAATGGTCATTGAAGGAAAACAGTGATCAACAATCTAAATATATACATTATTATTATAGTTCATTTCACAACTGTAAAACTTATGATGTATGGACTTTGACTCAACTTTGTCAGTATATTCAGAGGCATTTATTTGAGCATGTACTGCTGTTTTATTCTGACTCTCATTTTATGTAACTGTTGCATTTCTTATATCTAAATGAAATAAAACTTAAAAATAAAACAGGAATGGGGAGCCTCTGGCCCTCACACTGTTGTTGGTCTCCATCTCCCATCAGCCCCAACCAACATGGCCAATGATCAAGGGTGATGGGAGTTGTAGTCCAGTATTACCCCTGAAGGAGCCACCAGGTTCCCCCATCCCTGCCTTAAGGTTCCTGGCTGAAGCTGTGAAGCCAGTGCTTTTGTTTGGACTGTAAAATGAGCATAGCACAAGCTTGCTGCCCATGGCCCTGCCTCTTCCTCTTCACACTACAGCTCACCTCTGGGTAAAGAATTGCAAAGAACTGCTGCCCTCTTCCTACAACAAGAACCGCCTTGACCAGCCTCTGGAAGCCACGACTTGGCTGAAGAACTTCAAAATCACCAACGAGCGCTTATTGAAAGAGGTCAGTGGCAATGATGGCTGGTGCGGTCAGCAGGGACGTACTTAGGGGTTGGCTAGGTTGTTGCTTCTGTCCAGTTCTGAATGTCTTGATAAACTTCTGGGCTCCTGCACTCTGTGTCTGCAGCCAAGCCTGTACCATTACTTGGCTGAATAAAAAATCTCTTTCTTACCCACACGCAAAAGCCTCCGTTTGCATGTGCTGGGCAGGAGTCAGGATCCTGCCCACTTGCATGCCTGTCCTAGAAAAAATGTTGTTATCTTGTGTCACAATATAGCGGGTGTCCAAACAGGATATACCATATTTTTTGCTCTATAAGACTCAACTTTTTCCTCCTAAAAAGTAAGGGGGAATGTGTGTGCGTCTTATGGAGCGAATGCAGGCTGTGCAGCTCTCCCAGAAGCCAGAACAACAAGAGGCATTGCTGCTTTCACTGCGCAGCGATCCCTCCTGCTGTTCTGGCTTCTGAGATTCAGAATATTTCCTCCTCCAAAAACTAGGTGCGTCTTGTGGTCTGGTGCGTTTTATAGAGCAAAAAATATGGTAGTCCTTGTTATCTGGCGGATATGAGTACAGTGGTACCTCAGGTTATGAACTTAATTCGTTCTGGAGGTCCGTTCTTAACCCAAAACCGTTCTTAACCTGAGGCGCGCTTTCGCTAATGGGGCTTCCTGCTGCCGCCGTGCCGTTGGCGCGCAATTTCCATTCTCATCCTGGGGCAAAGTTCGCAACCCAGGGTACTACTTCCAGGTTAGCAGAGTCTGTAACCCAAAGTGTTTGTAACCCGAGGTACCACTGTACGTAGCCTATTGAGTTTCACTCTTTGCCATGGCAGTGAAGACAATCCGAGTGAGAATCTTGAACCAGACGACCGCGGCTTGCAAAAGCAGCTCTTTAATCTGAGCAAGCGGAATCTCAGGGTAACTCCAGGAAAGGTTAAGGTTTATTGGCTTGTAGCCACAATACAGTGGTGCCTCGCAAGACGAAATTAATCCGTTCCGCGAGTCTCTTCATCTTGCGAAGCACGGCTATTAGCGGCTGTTAGCGGCTTAGCTGCTATTAACGGCCTAGCGGCTTTAAGAAAAAGGAAACAAACTCGCAAGAACTCGCAAGACGTTTCGTCTTGCGAAGCAAGCCCATAGGGAAATTCGTCTTGCGGAACGACTCAAAAAACGGAAAACCCTTTCGTCTAGTGAGTTTTTCGTCTTGCGAGGCATTCGTCTTGCGGGGCACCACTGTAGCCTTATCCTCCATGAATTTGTCTAATCCTATAAGAGCCTGCTGGATCTGACTAAAGGCCCACCCAGTCCAGCATCTTGTTCTCACAGCAGATAACCAGAAGCCCCAGTGGGAAGTCTGCAGGTAGGAACCCATTGCAACAGCAACTCTCTCCACTTGGGGTTCCCAGCAGCTGGTATTCAAAGGCACAGCACTGCAAGTGGAACATAGCCATCAGGACTAGTAGCCATTGAGAGCCTTATTATACAATGGAACCTTCATTGTACAGCTTCCCATGAAGGCTAAAAACACCTCTTTATCCTGACTTTTGACACTTTAGGTGTATTATTATTATTATTAACGGACACTGAGGTCCAGCGTCGAGGGCCGTCTGGCGGTTCCCTCCCTGCGAGAAGCAAAGTTACAGGGAAGCAGGCAGAGGGCCTTCTTGGTAGTGGCACCTGCCCTGTGGAACGCCCTCCCACCAGATGTCAATGAAATAAACAACTATCTGACGTTTAGAAGACATCTGAAGGCAGCCCTGTTTAGGGAAGTTTTTAATATTTGATGAATTGTATTTTTAATATTTTGCTGGAAGCTGCCCAGAGTGGCTGGGGAAACCCAGCCAGATGGGCAGGGCATAAATAATAAATTACCGTATTTTCCGCTCTATAGGACGCACCGGAGGGGGAGAACAGGGAAAAAAAATCTCCACCTCTCTGCTCAGCGCCCCTTCAGCAAAGTGGTAGGAGAAACGGAGCCCCTTCCATTTCTCCTCCCGCTTCGCTGAAGGGGCGCTGTGCAGAGAGGGAAAACTGTGCAGCGCCACTCTAGCGAAGCGAAGCCCAGAGAGCAAGAGGGATCGGTGTGCACCGACCCCTCTCGCTCTCCAGGCTTCAGACGGCTATCCGCAAGCCTTTGGAGCGCAGCGGGAACTCCTACTGTGCTCGGAAGGCTTGCGGATAGCTGCCTGAAGCCTCTGGAGCGCAGCGGGAGTTCCTGCTACGCTCTGGGGGTTTCAGGCGGCTTCGGCGAAAGCAAGGCGAAGCCTCCGAAGCGCGGGGGTGCTCTCCCTCTGCGCTTCGGAGGCTTTGCATTGCTATCGCTGAAGCCAAGGAGCCTGCATTCACTCCATAAGACGCACACACAGTTCCCCTTAATTTTTGAAGGGGGAAAAGTGCGTCTTATACAGCGAAAAAACGGTATTATTATTGTTAAAGACTATCCTCTGTGAATTTGTCTAATCCTTTTTTAAAGCCATCCAATTTAGTGGCTACCATTGCTGCCTTTCGTGGGAGCGAAATTCCCTTCTTAACCTATGTCACCTTTGCACACTGCAGATCAAAACGCAGCAGAAGTATATGTGGGGCAAACGAGACAACACTGAGGAAGGCCGGCCCCTAATAGAAGTGGTGGAGCAGGTGAGGAAACGGATGCTCCGCCCTAGATCGCTGGGGAGTGGGGCTAGGGTGTGGGGAGGAAGCATAGTCTAATAACAAGGGTGGGGAAACCTCCGGTCCCCAGGAGCCGAATGAGGGCCTTCCAGGTGTCTGCATCTGGCCACACCTGCTGTCTCCAGGCCACACCCCTCCAGGCTTTGCCCCCTCCTCAAGCGCTTTTGCCTGCCTAGAATGCATCCTTGAGGTTCCCCAATGCCCCAGTGGAGGATAGGGAGGGATGTGTGAGGAAACAAACCTACTGTGCAAAATTAACATTCCCGGCTCCACCCACTTTTGCCTCTGACCCCACCCACCTGTCCCCAGAAGGGAATGCAGCCCTCAGGCTGAGAGAGGTTCCTGTCTCACACCCAATCTAGTCCGTTGTCTGTGAGCAAGGAAGCTGGAGAGGGGGGAGAACTGGGGGCAGGCGGGTGGGTATTGCAGTCACAGCTGCTAGGCGGTGTGGTATAGAGTGTCCGACTAGGGCCTGGGAGATTCAAATCCTCACTCAGTCAGAAGTCACTGCGAGAAGCGAAGTTACAGGGAACCAGGCACAGGGCCTTCTCGGTAGTGGCGCCCGCCCTGTGGAACGCCCTTCTACCAGATGTCAAGGAAATAAACAACTATCTGACGTTTAGAAGACATCTGAAGGCAGCCCTGTTTAGGGAAGTTTTTAATGACTGTTTTCATGTATTTTTAATCTTTTGTTGGAAGCCGCCCAGAGTGGCTGGGGAAACCCTGCCAGATGGGTGGGGTATAAATGTTGTTGCCTCTCAGCTTAACTCATTTCACAGGGTTGTTGTGGAGATTAAATGAGGAGGGGGAGAACCATGTATGCCACACTGAGCTCCCTAGAAGAGGGAAAAAGTGAAATGAATGAACAGGATGGGGCTGCAAGCCCCCAGGACCTCACATCTCTTTCTCTCCCTCCCCACTTTTTAGGGTTTAACTCGGGTGAAAAACTCCAGTGACGTAGTAGGGGTAGTCTTCAAAGAGCTGAAACAGCAATGCCCAGAGGGGTCCTTCAGGCTGCTAGTGGCAGTGGATGGGGTCAACGCCCTTTGGGGAAGCACAACGCTGAAGAAACAAGACAAGAGCAATGTATGGCATCTAAGCTGTAGAGGAGCGGCAGGGATGGGGGAGGCTGCCTCATAGCCAGTCTCCTAAAACATGGGAGAAAGGGGAAAGCTGAAAGATACTATTGGGTTTTCTGCCCAATTCTCTGTTTTGCCCTTAGGTCTCCCCAGAGGAGCTGACGCTGGTCCACAACCTGAAGAAGATGGTGACTAATGACTGGGTGAGGAGGAGGAGGCTGGAGCTCCTTTCTTTTCCCAGTAGAAATCCAATGACTTGATAAAGCTGTTTGGGAGATGCTCCCAGACCAGCCAAGCTACATAGGCAGGGCTGTGGTTTGCACGTAATGCTAAACCATGGTTTGCTTAAGCCAGGCATGGGGAACCTCCAGCTCACCAACCAGATTTGTACCGTTGTCTGTCCCCAGGTTAGGAGCTGGTTATGGAAGTGGGGTAGCGGTCACTAGGGCCAGGCAGATGTCTGGAGATACAGAGCACTGCCTTTTGCCCATTGCTTGCCTACCACATACGAGTCATTTTGTTGTCACAGAGACAATTCCAGTTGACCAGCATCTCTGTGTGAACACTTGGGGCTGGTTTTATGGCGTTGAATACAGTGTCACTGGTACTTAGAGGAAATCCATCCAACATAAGTTGGATATGTATGGCTAATGACCACATATATGGGAGTTGCATCTCAACAAGATTCTTGAACTACAGCTCCCATCAGCCCCAGGCAGCGCAGCCAGGGGTCAGGGATGATGGGAGCTGTAGTCCAGCAACATCTGGAGGGCCACAGGTTCCCCGTCCCTGATCTAGAGGGTCACACACGTTCCACATCTCCAACCCTGCTTCTGTCACCAAGCTGAGTAACTCACAGTGGGATCCTTGCCTCCATGCAGCCGTTGATGGATAAAGGAAACTTTCCCAGAAGGAATACTTTGCATGGGTGGGTGTTTGGTTTGATCGATCTCTTATCACATTTCTATGCCACTTTTCATTCACATTATTCACCAAGAAACGATGAATTCAAGAACAATCAAACGATGAATACAATACAAACGATGAATAGCAAGAACAATCACAAACACAACATAAATCATACAGAATAATTAACAGATCATCGGTGGAACAATTATAACCTATAAAAAAACACAATTAACTGAAAAAAATAAGCTAAACAGCAAAATGGCAACAAAAGTCATATAAGGTTCACCAAGTACTGCAGCATTTATACATAGCTGTCAACTTTCCCCTTTTTTAAAGGGACATTCCCTTATTCCGAATAGGATTCCTCGCAGGAAAAGGGAAAAGTTGACAGCTGTGCATTTATAATGTGTAAAACGACATTAACGTTAATAAACTAGCAGCCAAAAAATAAACTAAGCACTGTTGTATTCATACACTCTCCCCGTGACTCAAAATCTTCCACTCTATTTAGTTCATTAAAAGACCCATGCAAATAATGCGTGAAACTCTGTTCTGAAGGCTCCTAGGGCTGGAGGTGGAGCAGCACAGGTGAAACCAACCAGCTCATGATGGCAAACAGAGTCTCTCTCCCCTCACAGTTCTTCCTCTGGAAACAGAGGCTCCCGGGCTGGAGGGTGGGGCAAGGGAGGTGGGGAAAGCCATTGCCTGATGGCTAACAGAAAGTCTCTCCCCTCCCCAGAGGAGAACAGGATTGCCTCTTCTGATGTGCTGTTTTTCCCCCCTCTTTGTGTGGTTTCTTTTTTTATAAAGACTGGTGGAGCCATCGTGACAACCCTCAGCCAGACAGGCGCTCTGTTCCAACCCCGCAAAGCTTACAGGCCCCAAGAATTGCTAGGAAAGGTGAGTCTGGCCCTGGGATGCTGCCAGTACTGAGTTGGCCGTGCTGGTGGGGGCTGATGGGAGTCCAGCCACACCTGGAGGGGCACGGGTTCCTTAGCCTAATAATCTACAGCTTCAAAGCAGAAGCTGTAGTGCTTTTTACATTCCATACAGTGTCTAGAACAGGGATGAAGACCCTGTGGGGCCCTCTAGGTGCTGTTGGACTCCACTTCCCATGAGCCTCTGCCAGTATGGCCAATGGTCAGGGATGATGGGAGCTGAAGTCCAGCAGCATCCAGAGGCCTACATGTTCCCCCACCCCATGCTTAGGACCTTTTAAAAAGGTAAAGGTACCCCTGCCTGTACAGGCCAGTCTTGACAGACTCTGGGGTTGTGCGCCCATCTCACTCAAGAGGCCGGGGGCCAGCGCTGTCCGGAGACACTTCCGGGTCACGTGGCCAGCGTGACAAAGCTGCATCTGGCGAGCCAGCGCAGCACACAGAACGCCGTTTACCTTCCCGCCAGTAAGCGGTCCCTATTTATCTACTTGCACCCGGGGGTGCTTTCGAACTGCTAGGTTGGCAGGCGCTGGGACCGAGCAGCGGGAGCGCACCCAGCCGCGGGGATTCGAACCTTTTATTGCTATGCAATTCTGTAATCTAGCTCATTTTGATTTGAAGGGATTCTCCCCAAACTCACCACCCCGCCAATTCCCCCAAGACTCTTGGATAAGTGGAGGGAAACAGAACTGTCAGATCTCATATGATTAACCATTTGCTCTTCCTCTTCTGCCCCTTTTGCCCCCACCCCAGGAGGGTTTTGATGTCCTGGACCCCTTCATCCCCATCCGTGTTCTCAACTACAATGACCGAGAGTTTGAGAGCTGCTACCAGTACTACTTGGAGCGCAAGTGGCTTCAGCATGAAAAAGGTGGGTCACAGAAGAGAGAGCTGAGCGAAGGATGGGAGGATAGAGAGCAGGTTGTATAGAAACTATCCTGGGTATTTTGGCAGAGGTGCAATTTACATTCCTTGTTCTGCCCACCTTTGCCTCTGGTCCAACCTGCCACCAGCATGCGGATCCCAAAAGTTTGCAGAGAATAATAATAATAATAATAATAATATTTTTTTATTTATACCCTGCCCTCCCCAGCCAAGGCCGGGCTCAGGGTGGCTAACAAGCAATAATAAAAATAAGTTGAATGAATACAACTTAAAAACAACATTAAAATACAACATTAAAATATTAAAATGTAGCCTCATCGCAGGAGGAGAAAGGAAAAGAAAAAAGAAAGAGGAGTAGGGAATCAAATTGGCTCCAAGCCAAAGGCCAGGCGGAACAACTCTGTCTTACAGGCCCTGCGGAAAGAAATCAGATCCCGCAAGGCCCTGGTCTCATAAGACAGAGCGTTCCACCAGGCCGGAGCCAGTGCTGAAAAGGCCCTGGCTCTGGTTGAAGCTAATCTAACATCCATAGGGCCCGGGACCACTAGGGTGTTGCTGTTTATGGACCTTGAGGGTCTCCGTGGGGCATACCGGGAGAGGCGGTCCCGTAGGTACGAGGGTCCTAGGCCATGAAGGGAATGTTTCCCTCATTGTGGGGCGGGGGGGGGGGAAAGATTGTTCTAACTAGATAATGGGGCGGGGGGGAGGAGATGAGGCAACAGAACTGGAAGTGTCGTTTCTGCATGTCCTGTTTTCTTGGTTGTGTGTACATAACAAGCTGCAACCATGCTGACATAAACTCTCTCCACCACCCCCTTCTTCTTTTGCCTTTGAAATCAAACTCTCTTCACACTGCCGCATCAGCCAGCACAGATGAAGGCCGCAAGGAGCTTCGCTTTCTCAGTGGGCAGAACCCTGGACTGCTTGACCAAATCAGCTCCTTCTTGTGACATTGTCCCTCCTCCCCACCCCCATCCCAAAAACATTGGCATCACAGCCCAAGGAACTCCTTCCTGTTCAATAAAACACCAAACAGAAAGCCACTTTTGTTTTAGCATGGTCTCTCTGTGTACACATGTATAGGGTTAGGAAAGGGGGAGGGGGTATTTCTTGCTGCAGCGATATGACAGGGGTTGGGGAACCTGTGGCCCTCCCATGGTTCTTAGACTCCAGCTCCCATCAGCCTCAGCTAGCATGGCAAGTGGTCAAGGATGGTGGTAGTTTGGTTACCATCATGATGGTAGAGTGAAAGTTTGGTTAAGCGGAGATGGGTTTTTCTCTCAGTTGGAATGAAGCTGCTCATAAGACGGAAAAGTGGATCAGTTCAGGATTGTAGCATTAAGTTTGATGGGGCAACACAGAAACCCAGAGCACCAAATATGGGAGACCATGCTCTTCTTAACTCAGACCTTGTTTTGTGTAAAATCCATTTAAAGTGGTACCTCGGGTTAAGTACTTAATTCGTTCCGGAGGTCCGTACTTAACCTGAAACTGTTCTTAACCTGAAGCCCCACTTTAGCTAATGGGGCCTCCTACTGCCGCTGCACGATTTCTGTTCTCATCATGAAGCAAAGTTCTTAACCTGAAGCACTATTTCTGGGTTTGCGAAGTCTGTAACCTGAAGCGTATGTAACCCGAGGTACCACTGTATTAAAAATTTTTAGAAGCGTGGCCGCCTTGCAACATTGCCATCTTTTACCTGCACTATCCACTGTGTATGCTACATTGAGAGTTCTCATAAGAACCTCACTCAGCCACAGGAACATAAGACAAAGGACGGCGGTAAGAGATTCAGACTATTAAAAAACAACAACTTAGCATTGTTTTTCAACCTGAGTTAGGAAGAGCATGGTCTCTGATAGCCTTGCTGTCCAATCACAGCTTCCAAAAATCCTGGATTTCTGTTGTTTTCTAATAGGAGTTCTTCTGGTCTCAAACTCAAAAGAGAAAAAACAAAAAAGCAATTTCCAGGTGTTTGAATTATCACATTTTGCCCTTACTTTGTAAAATTGTAGAGACAGAAAAAATAAGAGGGGCATCACTGGGTTTTTTGGGGTGTACTGTAAAAATGGTTGGCCAGTGTTCTCATTATTACAGTATCTTTCCAACCAGCTACTACAGAGGGTAGGATGGTAAGCTGGACCATGCCATCTGCTTTGCTGAGAGACAAGCTCCCTTCCTTGTTGCAACAGTCATATTTTAGCTGACATTCCATGAGGTTGCAGTAGCTAGATGAGAAGCTGCTCCATTGCCTCTGCTGAAAGTATTCTTACTTGAGTCTTCTCTGTGAATTGTGTCCATTCAGTCTGGCTGTGTGGCTTATGCAAATAGTGGTATGTAAATCATCTAAGTAAAAATAATTTGTCCCTGCATTTTGTATGTTTTCCTCTTCCCTCCTCTCCTTGTTTTCCTTTTGTGCCATATCTTTTCATTTGCAAGCTGCAAATTAGCTAAAGAGATGGAGGAATAGCTCAGTCATTGAGATCAGCGGGTGGCAGGCTCCGTTAGGATCAGAGTTTTTAAAATATTTCCTTATTCTTTCCATCCTGCTGTCACCATTTGCGCCTCTGGGCACCTCCAGCGTGAAAATGCATCTATGTGGCGCTGTCCCCAAACTGCTTCCCCGTCAACTATTACAGGAGCATAGAGATGCCAGCTAAGCGGTAGAGCGGCATCACCCAGCCTCCATAGAAAACCGTGGCCAATATGGCGGCTTTCAAATTTTCGCCGGAAGTCTTGTCTGTCCCATTCTTCATTCCTACCGCCTCTGGGGCTGCGCAGGCGAAGGTATGCCTAGAGCGGCTCTCCCGATGCAGCTCCGCCCCCTTTCCTAGTTCTCCTAGCCAATGGGGGGAGAGATAAGGCGGCGCAACGAACCCTTCTCGCTCGCGCGCCGACCGCAAGCCGCCAGGCATTGGGTGGCCCGCCTTAGCCAATAGGAGAGCGGAAGGGGTGGGGTTCCCCGCGGAGACGCGCGCAACGTACGCGGTGCAGTCGCCGACTTGTAAACCGCCTCGCGGCTCGCTCCGGCGCGTGCGCACTTTCCCATCCGCCCGCCGCAGCTCCCTAACGGCCGCTCTGCGTGTCCTCCGCCCCCTCCCCCCTCCGCTCCCATTGGCAGTTGGGGGATGTCGGGGGCCCGCGAGGTGGTGACGCTCCAGTTGGGCCACTACGCGGGGAGCGTCGGAGCCCACTGGTGGGGGCTTCAGGTAATGTCAGAGGATTGTGATTGGGCAGGCTGTGCGCGCGCAGGCGGGGAAGGGGCGGGGCGAGCGTGTTTACGCAGCTTCTCCGAGGGCGGTTGCTGTGAGGGGGAAAAATATTTGTTTACTTCACAAAATTTATACACCGCTTGACCGTAAAAAATGAAAAAGAAAAGCCACCTCAAGCCATAAAACGATAAAAATCAAGAAAAAAACGACAACCCTACTGATAAAACATAACAAAATTAAAATACTAAAACAGGTTAAAATCACCTCAGCTTTCTAAGCACCTGCATAGGCCTGTCTCAACAGGATTTTTTAATCTATTTTCTTAGTCCTGTTTGAAGGCACCTGCTTGATCTCAATAGGCAGGGAGTTCCAAAGGGGAGCCGCCGCCATCTTACAAATGTGGGGTGGGTATTGTGTGGCTCTGTGGCAGGGCTGGTTCCGCCAGCAGAAAGGTCGAGTGGGCCAGTGCGGGGCAAAGTGACCTCATAGGTACAACACGTCCCAAATAGGAGGTTTGTGGTTAGGCTACATCGCAGGATAGTTGCATGAGCAAAATAAAAGGAGGTTTGGGGGAAGCCTACTTCATGTGGTTGTCGTAAAATAGAAGTTTGGGGCTGGTTTCTCTCAGTTGAGCTTATTGTGAGAATAAAATAGGAGGGGGTTGGGGGCTAACCTACCTCATTTTTTGCCTGTCCTGAGTCTCCCAACATTAGATGTCCCCAAGCATTTTGGAGAGAGGGAGGAAAACTTTTCTCTAACCACTTTCTCCGTTCCAGTTACAGATAGGTAGCCGTGTTGGTCTGCCATAGTCAAAACAAAAAAAATTCCTTCCAGTAGCACCTTAAAGACCAACTAAGTTAGTTCTTGGTATGAGCTTTCGTGTGCATGCACACTTCTTCAGATACACTGAAACAGAAGTTGCCAGATCCTTCTATATAGTGAGAAGGTGGGGAGGGGTATTACTCAGAAGGGTGGTGGGAATGGGTGATTGGCAGATAGCTGTGATGAGCCTGTTGACGACTCTTAACGACTGCAATAGGTCTTACAGGAAAAAGCAAGGGGTGAGAAGGTGAAAAATGGCTTTGTCATGTATAATGAGATAAGAATCCAATGTCTTTGTTCAGACCAGGTCTCTCCATGGTTTTAAGTTTGGTAATGAGTTGCAATTCAGCAGCTTCTCTTTCCAGTCTAGTTCTGAAATTCCTTTGTAGTAAAAAATTCCGTGTCATGCAGAATTGTATACATGTCTCCTCTTAACTTTGCTCTAAATTAAAAGCCCCAAATAATGATGTCCGACAATATCTGGAGGGCCACAGGCTCCCCACCTGAGACATAAATCTCTACTTTCACCAGTTCGAATCATCTCTTACAAAATAAGTGGAATAAATATACCAAAGGGTGTCTCCATAGAGTACTTGCTGGTTTAGAACTCTTTTCTCATGCATTTTAAAATTTATTTTGTCCCCCCTTCCCAGGAAGCTTCATTCTGCTTGGATCCTGCAACTGCACAATCAGATGAAGGGATTTGCCATGACGTCCTCTTCCGAGCGGGAAGAACTCTCCAGGGGCGAGAGACATACACACCCCGCCTCATCCTCATGGACCTCAAAGGTGGGTGATATACAGAATTGTGTAGTATAGTTTTTGGGAGAGTTTAGCCCAAACCCTCCTCTTCTTCATGTCATTTTCTGCATCCTGGAAGCCACATGTTGGAAGCAGGAAAACACAGACAGGCCACATTCCTTCAATGTACGTACATTTGTTTTTATTCAAAGCATTTAGACCCTGCTCTTCTGGTGAAGTGGCTTACAAATCAATAAAAGAATATAGTCCTGCCCTCGGGGTGACAACAGATAAATGGCATGACACACAAGAAAAAAAATGGATGGGGAGGGAAGAAGAAAAAGGAAATGAGCTCAGGCACAAATTCTTAAGACATTCCAGGTTTAGTTATTGTAATCAGCTCGGGCAGAAGTGAGCCACATAGCTACAGGCCTTGGCAGTCCTCCGAGAAATATCCTGGTGGCCCAGCCTTCCTGGAAATGCCAGACACTACCAACCTTTCAGGTTGGGACCTTGGCCTCTGAGGGTCTAGCCGAAATCTGCCCGCTGATTGTCACTCCTGTAGCAGCCGAGATCTTGCTGGCACTTGCTCCCAGAGCAGATGGTCCTGTGACAGTCCCTCACAAGGCAGGTACAACCAATCGTTTCTGTAAGCAAGGAGAAGCAGCCCAGCCCATTTGGTGAAAGCAGACAGCGAGTGGCAATTGCAGTTTCTGCCTACTTGTTGCTGTTGTTATTGCTGGTATTTATTTATTTTAGCCCACCCTTCCTGCAAGGAGATCAGGGGGCAATGTATGCAGTACCCACCCCTTTTATCCTTGTAACAACCCTGTGAGGTAGGCTAGGTTCCAATAGATAGCCACAAGACCAATAAATTTAGTGACTGGCTGGCTTTATTTATATATTTAAATAGTGTGTGTATACCACTTCACAGTCATCTCTAAGTGGTGTACTGGAAACACAATGCAATTAAACACCTGTCCCCACTGTATAAGTTTTCTAATCTCCCTGGGACTTGCCAGTTTTGCAAGAGAGAGTATCTGGTCTTGGGAGCTGCTGTTCTAGCTAATTTCCTTCCTAGACTGCGTAACATACCATACACTCAAAGCACATTACTCCCCCGCCAAATCACTCTGGGAACTAGTTTGGTAAGGGTGCTGAGAATTGTAGTACTAGGGGAAACTACAGTTCCCAGGATTATTTGTTGGAAAGCCATTGCTTTAAATGTATGGTGTGTACCATGGTGTGTATTATGTATGGTGTGTATTATGTAGGCTGAGTGTTGGCCCTTAGAGCTCCCCTGGTGTAGTGACGTTGAGGCTCCGGCCTCCCACCGTTACCTCAACGTTAGGGTAATGCTGCCCCCAGCCACTGCCCCTCCCTCACCTGTCTCTGCTCTCCGGCCAGACTAGGCTTCTTGAGCAGGGTGGGCGGCACACACTACTTTTACTGAAACAGGACAAAATCCAACCGGTAAAGCTGCCACCACTCCCTTTGTTCCCGGGGACCCAGAACCACAACCCAGGGAGAAGGCTGTGACTTGTTATCACTGGCTATCCCCTAATCCACAAGTTGCAATTACTGACTTGCAGACAGAAATTCTACGGTAGAGCGTAACCAGGCGTAAGGCTAGGATTTAGCTATTCCCCCGGAAAGGCACACAAACCAAACAGGTTTCCTCTTTAAAAATTTATTTTAAAAGAATAACAAAAAACATGCTAGAATAGCAGGCGTATCTTAAGAGGCTTACAGATAAGAAAAATAAAAACGTTGCATAGTATACTAACTCACATACTCACACTTGGCAATTACAAATAGGATAGTCAGAGTTCTTTTCCGGAGTCCGCAATTGGAGGTGTTGGTAGATCTCCATTTCAAAAGACGAAACGACGGCTATTAGCTGGAACAATGTAGCCGTGCATCTTTGCGGATTTGCAGTGAGCAAAGGCAGAGAGCAACTTCACAAACAATTCCCTGATCTTATATTCACAATTCGCACTTGGCGTCGTAACTCTCAAGCCAATCATAAGTCTTAATTAAGATTTAAACTCACCAATGACAGGCTTGCTGGTCAATCAATCTGCTCCTTGACAGCTGGGTCAATTTAGAATGCAAAACCCAAATCAAAGAGTTTACTCCCTTCCGTGGAAACAATCCAGATCCCTCTTCCCAGACACTTCAAGGACAGATAACATCATTGAAGGGGGATGTTCACACCCAGAGACCCAGGTGTCAAGCATTTCATGAAATTAGGGCTTCCTTGATCCCAATAAACCTTTCACGCCACGGAGCCAGCTAGTCTGAGGTTAAAGGGACAGAACTTATTTCCCATGGTCCTTGTGGCTTGTTGGTTACCCACAAGGCCTCATGATCGTTGCTTGACCAAGGAATGATTTTTAAACAGTACCAACTACACTACACCTGGCATAAAGTAAAAGGAAATGCTTCAGTTCCTGTGGCCTCTCTTCGGATCTGGGATACTTAGTGTTCATTGTTATTATCTTGACAAGCAGCTTTCACAGCGACAGCGCTTTCTGTTTCTCTGCAGGGAGCCTGAGTTCTTTGAAGCAGGAGGGATGCCTGTATGCAGATGCAAAAACAAGTACCCCTTTGACATGGTGAGTTCCTCCCCACCCCTGAAAAAAACACATATAAACAACTACCCTGTGCACAGCATAATCAGATCTATAGGATGGCTTACTAATGATTGTAGGGAAAACCTAATAACAGCTTTCAATGCATTATTGATGCACAGAGGTGAGGATTGTATAGTATACAAAATGGACTCCTGGTGTTTCTGATTTCAACTTTTAAAAAATGTTTCAAGTCCCTATGGTTGTAGCCAGGTTACTGCGACAATTTTGGAGGCTAGGAGATGTCAGGCTGGGCATGGTATTCTTTTCACAACAGTTCACTATGATCCCCAACATTTCATGAACATCGAGACATTTTCTACAATATTGATGGGAAAGGAAAACGAACAAACCCGATGTTTCTGTGAGGGAAACATTATTCAACAAGTTAAAATTAACAGAAAATCTTGTTATTCATCATGTATAAAGAACCGAAACTTTACTAAGCACCATAGACAGATAAAAAATCTCATTCTCCCTGCCCACATGCATAATGACTAGATGCTGTGACAGAAAAGAAAAAAGTGGTGGGAACGGAAGAAGAAAGCTAGCAAACTCAGACACCAAGTCTTAGAAGTTTTAATCTGCCTAATTACAGTTGCTAGATTTGGGGCAGCAGTGGTGTGGCACTCTAGATCCTCTGTATTTTAAAGGCAGCAGGGGAGGGCAGTATTCTGCACTCCACATACACCCCTTCAATCTCTGCTGCACTTTGTGCAGAACCATGTGGTTAAAAGGCTCAATTTTTCAGGAAGGGAAATCTGACGACGCACCAAGAAGACCCATCCCCTGCGAACCCTTTCCTGCCAGACCTCAACAGGCTGGAGGTAAGATATCCTCTACCCCTGGAGTTTCACTGTTCCTTTTCTGCCCTTGAACCAGCGTTGTTAAGCCTGGCGCTTTTGCTTTGGTGGAAATTCCTGTGTTGCTGGCAATCCTTCTTGGAATTAGTTGCTAACACTCGTCTTTCCACTGTCTGTTAAATGCCAAGGGCAGCTGGAGAAATAGCCCCTAGCCTATATGGTTTTAAAAGAGTAAGACCAATTCACAGGAAGTCTAATGACAGCTGTTGGTTTGAGGGGTGCATAGTAAGCTCCAGGTTTGTAAGCTGTCCACCAGCATCTGGAGGGCTACAGGTTCGCTTCTCCTGAGTTACCAGCAGCTATATGGATCTCTTGATTCCTTTATGGCTAAATCACAGCCTCAGGTCAGAATGTCTCTCTCTCTTTTCAGGATAACAGACGACCCAATGGCAGTTTTGCTCCAAGGACCCTTCCTGGTGGTAAAGATGTGTGTGTGCTCTGCATGCATGGCTTCCTGCAGGGGTAGAATGGGCAGATATGTTTTCAAAGGGTATTTTAAGGAAGGCTTCTGATCCGTTCACAAGGTATTCCAAGTTTTGGCTTCATTTGCTAGCCAAATCCATTATTTGTGGTTGCCCTGGGTGCCTCTGGCAATTGCAGAAAACATAGGCTATGAAGGGGTGTTAATCCCTTTTGCTGGGCTGCTGCAGTAAGTCACACCTAGATGGCTATCACCGCCTACAAAATCCTGAATAGTAAGTGAAATAAATTGTGGTTCCTTTTCTCTATGTTGGGGGTTGGATAAAAGAGAGGAGGTTTCTCCCCCATGGGCAGAACTTCTTCTGGAAGTGCTGGTGTGCTCACCTGATAACAGAGAAGTACTTGCCACTGGCGAGCAGGCTGATAAATTGATGGAGCCATTTCCACCCAGCCAATGCCTGTGTTCTGAAGCCATTTTGGCACATAAGCAGTATATAAATTAATAGATGGCGGTGATAACCATTCTGCTTCCAGGCAGACCTCCGCTCCGTGAGAGGCAGGACGAGACTTCAAAGATGCCTTGCTCAGAGAGCAGGACATGCTTCTGGTCGGATTTCCTCCGCACACACCTGCACCCTCGTAGCATAGTAACCATCTACCAGTACAATCACGATGGGTAAGGAATGTTTCTCAGCATTCTGGGCTACCTTTTCCCTGGGCGGGCCAGGAGATGCTGGCTAGAATATTGTCTGCCCTGCTCTGGAAGGTGCCTTTGGAACAATGCTGCCACTTTTCTTTCAGGGATTCCAGCCGGCTGGAGACTTTTGGACAGGGGGAGAAGCTGCTACAAGAGGGGACATACCTTGAGGAGCTCGAAGATAGGCTCCACTTCTATGTGGAAGAGTGTGACTACCTGCAGGTGAGCATTTGCTATAGTCTCTTGTTCTGCCCAGAAGGGTGGGTGGTGCCAGCTCACTTGAGAAACAGCAGTAAAGCAGGCCCTCATGTCTAGTCCCAGAGCAGGGGTGGATAATCTATGGCCTTCTGTTGCTGGACTCCAACTCCCATCATCCCTTGCTGGCTGGGGGCTGATGGGAGTTGGAGTCCAGCATTTGGAAGGCCATGGTTTCCACAGCTGTGCCATAGAGGCTGCACAGTGGCCCAGTTTCCAGGGTTTTGCAGGTGGTTATTGCATTTTAGATATTGGGCAACTTCTTGGCAAATAACAGTTACCTCCTTCGGCCTGGAACTTGAGCCGGGCGGCAGGGAGCAGATCCTCCTGAAGAAGCTGCTCAGGCCCTCGGCCATGACATCACTGCTCGTCCCCTTCTCTCCCTTTCCCGCCCCCTCACACCAGCCAGGGAGAGGCCTGCAGGCTGAAACATCTGGTGCTTAGATGACAGGCTGTGCCAGAAACCTCTGGTGCATCCTGCTATTCAGCACTGAGTAGTGCTGGTCAGTTAGGAGCAGAGATCCCTTTGTCTACAGTGGTGCCTCGCAAGACGAAATTAATTCGTTCCGCAAGTCTCTTCGTCTTGCGGTTTTTTCGTCTTGCGATGCACGGTTTCCCATAGGAATGCATTGAAAATCAATTAATGCGTTCCTAGGGAAACCGCCTTCAGACCAGGTCCGGGGACAGTCTGTCCCCGGACCTCTTCTGAAGGCTGGGGGGGGGACAAGGGCTTTTCTTCCCACCCCCAGCATTTTAAAAAACCCAGGGACAGCGGAGGACTTCTCCGCTGTCCGGGGCGATCTTAAAATGCTGGCGGGCGGCATTTTAAAATCGCCCCGGACAGCGGAGGACTTCTCCGCTGTCCGGGGCGATTTAAAAGCCCCTGGGAAGGCAGGCAGGGGGGACAAAGACTTTCGCCCCCTGCCCGCCTTCAGAAGGTGTTCCCGCCCCCCGCCCCGCTTCGGAACAGCTTTCCGAAGTGGGGCGGCTGGGGCAGGTGTCCCCGCCCCCCCTCCCCGCTTCGGAACAGCGTTCCGAAGTGGGGCGGCTGGGGCAGGTGTCCCCGCCCCCCCTCCCCGCTTCGGAACAGCTTTCCGAAGTGGGGCGGCTGGGGCAGGTGTCCCCGCCCCCCCTCCCCGCTTCGGAACAGCTTTCCGAAGTGGGGCGGCTGGGGCAGGTGTCCCCGCCCCCCCTCCCCGCTTCGGAACAGCTTTCCGAAGTGGGGCGGCTGGGGCAGGTGTCCCCGCCCCCCCCTCCCCGCTTCGGAACAGCTTTCCGAAGTGGGGCGGCTGGGGCAGGTGTCCCCGCCCCCCCTCCCCGCTTCGGAACAGCTTTCCGAAGTGGGGCGGCTGGGGCAGGTGTCCCCGCCCCCCTCCCCGCTTCGGAACAGCTTTCCGAAGTGGGGCGGCTGGGGCAGGTGTCCCCGCCCCCCCTCCCCGCTTCGGAACAGCTTTCCGAAGTGGGGCGGCTGGGGCAGGTGTCCCCGCCCCCCCTCCCCGCTTCGGAACAGCTTTCCGAAGTGGGGCGGCTGGGGCAGGTGTCCCCGCCCCCCCTCCCCGCTTCGGAACAGCTTTCCGAAGTGGGGCGGCTGGGGCAGGTGTCCCCGCCCCCCCTCCCCGCTTCGGAACAGCTTTCCGAAGTGGGGCGGCTGGGGCAGGTGTCCCCGCCCCCCCTCCCCGCTTCGGAACAGCTTTCCGAAGTGGGGCGGCTGGGGCAGGTGTCCCCGCCCCCCCTCCCCGCTTCGGAACAGCTTTCCGAAGTGGGGCGGCTGGGGCAGGTGTCCCCCCCCTCCCCGCTTCGGAACAGCTTTCCGAAGTGGGGCGGCTGGGGCAGGTGTCCCCGCCCCCCCCCACTTCGGAACAGCTTTCCGAAGTGGGGCGGCTGGGGCAGGTGTCCCCACCCCCCCCTTCGGAACAGCGTTTTAAAATGCTGGGGGTCGGGAGCGAAGCGCTGCCGACCCCCAGCATTTTAAAACCTCCCCGGGACACGGGGAGATTTTAAAATGCTGGGGGTCGGCAGCGAACGCTTCGCTCCCGACCCCCAGCATTTTAAAATCTCCCCGGGACAGAGACTTCTCTGCTGTCCCTTGGAGATTTTAAAATGCTGGGGGTCGGCAGCGAATGCTTCGCTCCCGCCGCCAGCATTTTAAGATCGCCCCGGGCAGGCGGGGGGAAGGCAGGCGGGGGGGGAGCAAAGAGGTCCTCTTCTGAAGGCCGGCTGTGGGCGAAAGTCTTTGCTCCCGACCGCCAGCATTTCCCTATGGGCTTTCGTCTTGCGATGCAAGCCCATAGGGAAATTCGTCTTGCGAAGCGCCTCCAAAACAGAAAACCCTTTCGTCTTGCGGGTTTTCCGTCTTGCGAGGCATTCGTCTTGCGGGGTACCACTGTACTCTCTTTGTCTCGTGCTCCAGCTCACTAGCCTGCCTTCCACCCCTGGGATGAGGCAAGCTCACTGGAAAAGCAATAGAGCAGCCCATTTCAATAGCACTGCGTAATTCTTAGGCAAGCTGTGTCTGTGTCTTGGCCAGGATGTGGCACCACCCAGGTTTAACATGCTGAATGTCAGCAGCACCCAGGTTCCTGGGGCATTTGTCCCTTCAGCATGGGGAAGGCTGTGAAGCAGCTGAGATTATATGTGGCACAGCCTGGGCTTGCAGCAGTGTGCAGGCACCAACTCTTGAGTTGTCA